GGGCACACTCATATCCTCGCTATTATCAGTCGCATAAAGTGATTTTTAAAAGGACAAGGCAGGCTAGATTTTTTCCCATATTTATAAACTTGACTTTACAGAACAAAACAAAGTATAACTGGTATGAATGTTCCTCTCAGCAAAGCAGGGGGGGAAATCAGCTATTAGATAAAAACCGGGGCTTCTAAAGGCACATACGGATGAACTGTCTTCAGTAAACTGTAAACCTCTGAGCTCCCCGAGGATCTCAGGGCCCTGCATAACTTGCTACAATTCCGCAGGGCCTGCAAGACGGAGCTCTTCCACCAGGCATTTGACCACATTTGACCACATCTAACATCTGGCACATCTGGTTATAACATCAGAACCTTCCTGGGATCTTGCCATCGCCATTGTTGTGTTAACTGACTCCTGTCACAAAAATATTGGATATGGCAATATTGGAACATGTTCACCACTGCATAGGAAAATTATAAATGTATAGTACTTAACGTTGGTCTTAACTGTTTTTAAAAAAATTATGCAAGCCGCCCTGAGCCTGCTTTGGCGGGGAGGGCGGGGTATACATCTAATAAATAAAAGACACTACCATCAATCATCATGCAGTCTTACTAAATGAGGAAAACGTTTATAACATTCAGGATATTCCAAACGTCCTTCAACCAATCCAATACACAGGAACCTTCAGAAACACTCCATTCACTTCAATCGTTGCTACAAGCTAGGCTTCAGCAGTACGTGGATAGAGAACTGCCAGAAGTACAAGCTGGGTTTTGAAGAGGTAGAGGAACTAGAGATCAAATTGCCAACATTCGTTGGATTATGGAGAAAGCAAGAGAGTACCAGAAAAACATCTACTTTTGCTTCATTGACGATGCTAAAGCCTTTGATTCTCCTTGGGAGGAAAGCGATGGCGAACCTCAACAGCATGATAAAAAGTAGAGACATCACCCTGCCAACAAAAATACGCATGGTCCAAGCAATGGTATTCCCAGTAGTCATGTATGGCTGCGAGAGTTGGACTATAAGGAAGGCCGAGCGCCGAAGAATAGATTCTTTTGAACTATGGTGCTGGAGAAGACTCTTGAGAGTCCCTTGGACTGCAAGAAGATCAAATCAGTCAATCCTAAAAGAAATCAACCCTGACTGTTCCCTGGAAGGCCAGATACTGAAGCTGAAGCTCAAATACTTTGGCCACCCAATGAGAAGGGAGCACTCACTGGAGAAGACCCTGATGCTGGGAAAGACTGAAGGTCAAAGAAGAAGGGGACGACAAAGGATGAGATGGTTAGACAGTGCTATTGATGCAATGAACATAAAGTTACGAAAACTCCGGAGCATGACGGAGGAGGAAGAGGAGGAAGAGGAGGAGGAAGAGGAGGAGGAAGAGGAGGAAAAGGAAGAAGAGGAAGAAGAGGAAGAAGAAGATGAAGAAGAAGAGGAGGAGGAGGAGATTGGATGTATACCCCGCCCTTCACTTGGAGTCTCAGAGCGGCTTACAAACTCCTTTCCCTTCCCCTCCCCACAACAGACACCCTGTGAGGTGGGGGGGGCTGAGAGAACTCTGACAGAAACTGCTCTTTTTCAAGGACAGCTGTGCCAGAGCTTGTGACTGACTCAAGGTCACATCAGCAGGTGCAAGTGGAGGAGTGGGGAATCAAACCCGGTTCTCCCAGATTAGAGTCCGCACACTTAACCTGGCGTGATGTGGTCCATGGGTTCGCGAAGAGTCAGACTCGACTGTGCGACTGAACAACAACAAATAATTATCAAGTTAACAACCATTTTGTGGTGCTTCTACCACAGCAGATCTTTTAATTTATGCCCACTAATATTTTAATCCCTTCAAGGTTTAGGGGGCAGAAGACAAATGATTCACATAATAAAGGCAAACAAAATGTATTTAATCAAGGCGGACACATTATAAATATTATATTTCTAACCATTTCTCCAACTGTTTTCCACATTTCCTGAATCTTCGCATATGACCTTCAGGGGAAGGCCTCAGCCTCTATTCTCTGTTGTTAGCTATCCAGAAGAAATGCTTGGCTACTGTGTGAGACAAGATGCTGGACTAGATGGGCCACTGGTCTGATCCAGCAGGGCTCTTATGTTCTTATGGCCCTCACAGGAATATTCATTAACATTAAAATGTGTGCCGAACATGAAATTGAGCAAACTTCAGAGGACGGCGGAAGACAGGAAGGCCTGGCGTGATCTGGTCCATGGGGTTGCGAAGAGTTGGACTCGACTGTGTGACTGAACAACAACAACAAAAATGTGTGCCCACCTGGCATGCCTCACTCAAGCCTATTCACCTTAACAGGGTAAGAAATCATTTCAAAATACTTCACAGTGATTTCTTCCCAGACTGGTAGGCCTAAGTTACTAATTTAATTAGTGAATATTTTTGAATACTTATTCAGACAGCTCTTCATCACAACCAGCTGATTTTCACATCAATCTCTGATCTTTTCCAGATCTTCCCTGATTCAAGAACTTTTGATAAGGCCCTCACGTGGATAGCCTAGGCAAACCCAATCTCGTCAGATCTCAGAAGCTAAGCAAGTCCTTGGATGGGAGACCTCCTTGAAATACCAGAGGCGCAAGACAGGGGAAGGCTTTATTTAGCCACCTCTCTGAATAGCCTCCAGGCCCCAGTAGAGAACAGTCACCAGAGGTCGCCATGACTTCCATGTGCACACACACTCACACACACATATTTTAAAAAATACAAAAATCCCCAAAAGAGAACCTTTAGAGACCATTTTGACCATCCCACAGCATACTGGAAGGAACTTTACAGGGTGTTATCATAACCTCTGGGCTTGTAGATTTATTTCATTTCAAAGCACACAAACAAAGGGAGGCTGATGGACAGGATAGGTAAGGGGAATAAAAGATCGTCCTCTGCTGTGGTCTTCCCACTCCTGTATATGGGTCTATGACTGTTACCCAAATTCTCCCACACGTAAGAGGCTAACATAGATGGAGCTTTATTGATTTTATTTATTATGCAGATTTATACCCCGCCCTCCCAGCTGAGGCCGGCTCAGGGAAGTTATTAGGGAAGTTTCACAGTTTAGCCATGTTGTCTGCAGTAGAACTGCTAGATTCAAGCCCAGTACCACCTGAGAGACTGACCAGCTTTTAGGGGGTAGCTCATACCCTGAAAATTTTATTAAGGAAAGAGCTCTACCAACTTACATACAACTAGCAGCTTCCCCTGACAGAAATGAAGCCGACATGCTGGAAAGCAACTTATATTTCAAAATCTAAAACCAATATTGAACACAGTCACACCGTAGGACAGTGGTTCTCAATCTTCATTCCACTATTGCCCTGACCTGGATAGCCCAGGCAAGCCCGATCTCATTAGATCTTGGAAGCTAAGCAGGGCCGACTCTGGCAAGTATTTGGATGAGAGACCTCCAAAGAATACCAGGGCTGGGAGGCCAGAGGCAGGCTATCAAGCCACTTCTCTAAATGCTCTCCGTGCCCCAATAGGGGTTGCCAGAGGTCACCATGACTTCCAGGCACGGGCACACACACACGGGCACACGCACACAAAATTACAAAAATACAGAAAAAAAAACCCTTCATTCCGCCACTGACTGCTAAGTTTGCAACATCACAGCTAAAAGCCCCCCAAGCCACAAATACTAAGTTAAGACAAAAACAACAGTCTTAACAGCACAACCTTATACATTCAATCAGATCCTTGTGCGTGATGGCCACCCAAGTTCTCAGTGTTAATTTTGATCCGTATTTGATGTTGTTCCACCTTTTTAAAGGGAGAACTAGGATGTTATCCTCAGGTGAGCACAGCCCCCGTGGCACTGCAAGCGAGGGGGAAAGGAGCTGCCTAAAAATCCTGAATGTTCCACCCCATTTGTAGACCAGCTCCTCGTGAAGCCATAGGGGCCTCGTTAACAACCACTCTTCTAAGCATGACCAAGAAACAGAGCCCAGGAGGGTGCTATGCCAACAGAGGCCCTGCACAGTTCTGTACAACAATATACTTTGGGTCTGGGACACAGCAAAGAGGTATAAAAATCTGCTTCTCAGCCTACACACTGAACTCACCAGGAAGGGTTTTAATTGCATTTTTATGGAAAATCTGTAAGGCGCCCTGAGCCCGCCTTTGGCGGGGAGGGCGAGGTATAAATAAATAAAATAAAGAGCGAGCAAGTTTAACCCCACCTAAAGGTGCTCCCCATCTGTGCCAGTGCCATCATGTTGCTTCCAACTTACAGCGGCCCTATGGATGAATGACCTCCAAAGGGCCCTCTTGTTGCCCTCACCTGGATGGCCCGGGCAAGCCCGATCCCGTCGGATCTCGGAAGCTAAGCAGGGTCGACTCTGGCAAGTCCTTAGGTGGGAGACCCCCTTGGAATGCCAGCAGTCGGGAGGACGGGGGCAGGCTTTATTCAGCCACCTCTGAGAATATCCTCCAGGCCCCCAATAGGAGTCAGTCAACAGACTTCCAGGTGCACACACACTCACACGCACACACATGCACATATGAAAAATACAAAAAGAAAATGTCCTCTCGTTAACAGCCTGGCTCAGGTCTCTCAAACTGAAACCAGTGGCTTCTTTTGTTGATTCAATCCATCTCATGGTGGGGCTTTCTCTTTTCTTCCTGCCTTTAACTCTTCCTGGCATCATTGTCTTTCCCACCCCTTTATTTTCCCCCATACAAATGAATGGCCACAATTCATATGGAGGGGCGGCTCATATGTCACTGTACTTTGGGCAAAATCTGTACAACCCCTTGCACTGCCAGCTTTGGTTGTTCCGCCCTCCACCAACAGGGAATATTTGGAGGGTTGTGCACCCTGCCCACTGTAGACACTTTGCAGCTGCCATCCCCCGCAGGGGGACTCTCCCACCACAAGACCTGCCCCCCCACATATTAGCAAGCATTTCACTAGTATATACTGAATAGCAACCAGATAGAAGTGTTTTTACCCCCTTAGGACAAAAACAAGCCTTACTTTGTCAGACGAATCGGAAGCCAAGAGATTGGTGGCCAGGGTCTGCAGTTTCTGATGGGCCATGTTTTTCAAAGCAGCCAGGCTTCGCCTGGTCATGGCCTGTTTCAAGTTAACGGCAGGGTGGCTAAGGGAGTCCACGGCGGCAGGCACAGCCTCATCACAAGCATTCAAGATCTCGACAGCTGTTATCCCCATTACACAGCGGTCGAGTGCACCTTGGGGAAAGGAAGGAGAGAAACTGTTTGAAAATGAAACAAATTCACATGTTTTTCTACGGAGCGAAGGAGCCATTCCTCATTTAGTGAGATGCACCATACATCAACCACACTCTGAACAATCTTGCAGCTGCTCACGCTAGAACTATTAAAAATGCAGCAGAAAACCCAGGAAGAGTCTGTTACAAATGAACAAAAGACCTTGTTGCACCACAAAGAATTTCAGACAGGGTCACTGGCAGAGCAACTGCTTGGCATGTGGAAAGTACCATGTTCAATCCCCAGCACCTCCAGTTAAGGATCGGGCAGCACATGATAGGAAAGGCCTCATTCTGAGACTCTGGAGAGCCGCTGTCAGTCTGAGTAGACTCTGAAGGACTAAGGGTGTGGTTCAGTATATGGCAGCTTCATGTGTGTGGTTATTGTGACCCCGTGCTTTCTTCCAGGCAATAATCTCCTTCTTCATCAGAAACATCCAACAAAGATGGCTCTGTCCTATGAAAGCTTGTAAAGACAGTTAATAGCCTTTGAGACATTGTAATTGTGTTGAAAACAACAATATTTCTATGCCGGTTAAGTCTACAGTGACATTTAAAGCTGTGACAGACAGTAAATGGTTAATGCTGCAACCTGGTCTGAAACCTTGAGTGACAAGGGATTCAAATGGAATTCTTCAGTTGAAAGAGTCAAGAGTGACAGTTGAGAGTTAAGAACGGACAGTTGACTGGGAAGGTAGGATAACGGAGTGAGGATCAAGAAGGATCCTCATTCAAGCCTGAAAGAAACAGCTCCTAGAAAAGGGGGGTGATCCTTATCAAGTCTAAAGGAAATAGCTCCTAAAAGAAGGGGATGATCCTTAGCCAGTGGATAAGGAAAGAAATTGGAACTTGTTTGAATGTTCCTGCCTTCACCAACTTAAGTGTCTGTGAGACAAAGAAGCTTATGATTGTGTATTTAAGCAGCGACTGCCAAGAAATCTCTTTCCTCAAGTTTTAATGACCTGTCTGAATAACAGAAAGTTACTTGTTTGTGACAAATTATCTGGAATTTATTTGTATTCAAAGTTAACCTCATTCCTATTATCTGTTCACCTCGTAAGTCATACACCTGATTCCAACTTGACCATTCCCCCTCTAAGTTAAATAAAACAGTTTGTTATTTTTAAACTACCATCAGCCTCTCGTGTGCCATTTTCAAAACAGGGCATAAGAAGGATTTTAGTTTCTCCCCTCAGTTCCCTAGGCTGGGTTAGCATCTAACAACATACATTCAAACGACTGAGTGGGACAGCTAGGGGGGGCTCATCCAGAAAGAAGATAAAGGGAAATCCTGTGAGGGAGGGTGGAATCGTCATAATAGCAAACTCATGGTATCTGTTTTCAAGGACAAAATTTAGGAACACATACAGATGCTGGCAAAGCTGGCTGAGAGACAAAGACAGAGGCAGATGCCTGAAAAATGAATATTTTCCCAGGCTTTTGTAAATCACCACTGGTAAATATTCAGTAGAGACGTTGTACAGTTTTTCCCCCCAGCCCTCTAGAAGGAGAAGATGAGATTGGATTTATACCCCACCTTTCACTACACGAAGGAGTCTCAGAGCATCTTAGAATCTCCCTTCCCTTCCCCTCCCCCACAACAGACATCCTGTGAGGCAGGTGGGGTTGAGAGAGCTCTTTCGAGAACTGCTCTTGAGAGAACAGCTCCGAGAGAACTTGTGACTGACCCAAGGTCACACCAGCAGCTGCATGTGGAGGAGTGGGGAATCAAACCCTGTTCTCCCAGATTAGAGAAGAAGAAGAAGAGATTGGATTTATACCCCGCCCTTCACTATCCAAAGGTGTCTCAGAGCGGCTTACAAAATCCTTTCCCTTCCCCTCCCCACAACAGACAACCTGTGTAAGGCAGGTGGGGCTGAGAGAGCTCTGACGGAAACTGCTCTTTTTCAAGAACAGCTGTGCCAGAGCTACCCAAGGTCATCCAGCCAGGTGCAAGTGGAGGAGTGGGGAATCAAACCCGGTTCTCCCAGATTAGAGTCTGTGCTCTTAACCAGTGCACCAAACTAGCTCTCCAGTATACTGGAATACAGGGCTTTCTGGATGACGCTTCCATTTTAACATTGTATTTATATTGATTGTGTTTTATGTGTTATTGGAATTGTACTATTGGAAATAACTGTGTTTTATGTATCATTAGAATTTTATTCTGTTCTGTAAGCCGCCCTGAGCCGGCCTAGGTCGGGAGGGCTGGACAACAAATTAAATAGATCAAAATCATATCAAATCGGCTAAGCACAGTGTTTAGGTTATGACGGCATCAGTATGCCTGACACCCCACTGTCTCCATCTCGCCCTTTCCATCAGATTTTGGGGATGCAGCAAAGGTCTAGAAACAGTGCCTGAGATCAGCACTTGTATTGTCAAGTGGCAAAGAGGTTCTCCCCCCCCCAATGTATTTGACGGTACCGTGTTTCCCCGAAAATAAGACACTGTCTTATATTTATTTTTTCTCAAGAAGACACACTAGGGCTTATACCACAAATGCATAGAAATCCTGCTAGGGCTTATTTTTGGGGTAGGTCTTATTTTCGGGAAAACAGGGTAATAAGCACACCAGTGGTGAAAGAAAAAGGGTTTTACTGAAATCTCTATAACAATGAGATATCAACAAGGATAGAGAATAAAAGAGAGAATATGCATGCGCCCCGTCAGCTGCAGGAACCCTGAATGACAGCAAGCAGACTCCAGGTGTTGGCCAGTGTGCTCAGCACTGCTCTAAGGTTGGACCTGTCATTGGGGGTTTCTGCATGCAGAGCATGGATTTCTTACCTCCCGTCTCTGTCAGTGGCCCCAAGTGCCACCTGCTCCGGGGGAGGGGGGGGGCAGGATATAAAAAGTTACACTCTACAGGTGGAAATCCTTTCATTCATGGAAACACTCCAATAGCCCTGGCCCCAAATGTAGACATGAAGCAAGCATGAACATGCCACTTAATTTGCAAAGGCACAGAAGCAGTATAAAATTCACATGTGGAAGAGGAATAATATTTTTAGAACAGCTTTCTAAGCATCCAAGAGGCTTTACTACCTTCTTCTTTTACCACCTTATTCCTTTAAAAAAAAACCCTGATTAAAAATATTAACCTTTCACGCTTCAACCCTTTCTTTGGTCATCGTGAGTTCAAAAGCCAATCATAAAAGGACTTTCAGAGTTAAGTTTTCCAAGAAAGATATGTTTGGGAGGATAACGGAGGTTGCCAGCTCTGGGCTGGGAAAAACCTGGAAATTTGGGGGGGTGGAGCCTGGGGAGGGCGGGGTTTGGGGAGAGAAGGGACCTTAGTGGGGCACAATGCCAAAGAGTCCACCTTCCAAAGCAGCCATTTTCTCCAGGCAAACTGATCTCTGTCGACTGGAGATGAGTTGTAATCCCGGATTTCCAGCCACCACCTGGAGGTTAACAATGAGAGATCACGGGAGGAAGAGGAAATCCAAACACAACATCCCGGACAAAAATAACGAAGAGTCAATAAAGATATGTTTGCAAAATCACTGTGAAGATCTTGGGTTCTGTTATTAGAGAGTCAACATGGAATGTTTCCTTCAAGGGTTGATTAGAAACTGATAAGAACTGTGATTGCTACATGCTCAGATAAAGCAATTCTTGTGAAACGGATTTGTTTATATTGCGCAGTATTCGTTGCGTGTGAGCGATAACAGAAGATAATTTTCTACAGAATTACTACAGTAAATGATTTTGCAAACATGTCTTGATTGACTCTTTGTTATTTTTGTCATGGATGTTGTGTTTGGATTTCCACCACCTGAAGGCTGGCAAACCTTGGGACAACACACGTGGCAAGCTTTTCCTTAAACATAAGATTAGACACAGTTTCTACACCGGTGTTGTTTAAGCTGCTTCTTATACTCTTTATCTTACCAGTATCCATCTGCCAGACATATACAGACCCATCGGAACATCCAACCACTAGATAGTCATCGGACGGCCTCCACTTTATCACTTGAACTGGAAATAGATGCCGGGAAGCTAGCATGATGCATTTCTTCTCTCGTAAACTCAGAAGTCCCACTGAGTGGTCACTGGCCACAGAGCACACACAGTGCTGGACTCGTGACTGAAAAAGAAAAAAAAAGAATAACCTTACTTGTCATTGTAACATATGTGTTGAACATAAGAACATGAGAGAAACTATGTTGGATCAGACCAATGGCTTATCCAGTCCAACACTCTGTGTCACACAGCGGCCAAAACAGGTGCCATCAGGAGGTCCACCAGTGGGGCCAGAACTCCAGAAGCCCTCCCACTGTTGCCCTCCAATCACCAAGAATACAGAGCATCACTTCCCAGAGTGTTCCATCTACACCTTGTGGCTAACAGCCACTCATGGACCTCTCCTCCATATGTTTATCCAATCCCCTCTTGAAGCTGTCTGTGCCTGTAGCCACCACCCCTTCCTGCGGCAGTGAGTTCCACATGTTAATTACTCTTTGGGTGAAGTACTTCCTTTGATCTGTTCTAAGCCTACTGCTCATTAGTTTCACTGAATGCCCTTGAGTTCTTGTATTGTGAGAAAGGGAGAAAAGTACTTCTTTATATTTTCTATCCCATGCATAGTTTTGTAAACCTCTGTCATGTCACCCCTGAAGTCATCGTTTCTCCAAGCTAAAGAGCCCTAACCTCTTCAACCTTTGTTCATGGAGAAGGTGTTCCATCCCCTTAATCGTTTTACTTGTCCTTTTCTACACCTTTTCTTGCAGAGACTAACCAGGAGAGAGATCCTGGGAGTCGTGGTAGATAACTCACTGAAAATATCAACCTAGTGTGTGACGGCAATAAAACTGAGGCTCCAATCCCCACCCGTACCACTGATCTCACTACACAGCTTGGGGCAAGCCATCTTCCACTACCCCAGCCGCACCCCTAATAACGGCTGCCTATTAGCCACAGTTTTGTTAAGGTTGAATACAGAGGACTGTTTAGTTCTTCCCACACAGTATTTTATAAATTATCACTGCCCCTCCTACAACAGCCCAGAAACCGAAAACTTACTGGGAAATTCTCCCTTGTCCCAATCCGTTCCCCAAACTGCATTTCCCTGCTTCCCTGCTACTCAGTTATGCGGATTGTGATTTTACACAGCCAAGCAGCCTACGAAGACTCTGCTCATCTGTGCAGAGGTGCACATTCGTCTCTCATGCTAGATTTATATTGCTTTCTAAACCAATGCTAAGACGTAAACATCAAGAGGGACAAGCACACAAGACAATCCTACAGATGATAAATGCTTATCCAGAATTAAGCCCAGTAACACAACATATTTTGAAGTACACATGCACAGGATAACAGGGTAGATGCAAGTTATTATACTTTTGTTAATATAAGCCAATGATATGTTTAAATCTTTAATACAGGGGTCCCCAACATGGTACCAGCCAACACAAAGTGTTTTTAGAAAGTGGGCAGGGCCAAATAGAGTTTTTGTCCAACAAGGCCATTGGAGATTGGATTGGCCACTGGAGATTTGATTGGCTGTAAAGATTTTTTTAAATGGCAGCTACCACAGCACAAAGATCCCCACTGTATGACTAAAAGACAGAAGAAGAAGAAAAAGAAGTAGAAGAAAGAAGAAGGAAGAAGAAGGAAAGAGGAAGGAGGGCGGAGGGAGGAGGATTGGATTTATACCCCGCCCTTCACTACCCAAAGGTGTCTCAGAGTGGCTTACAAACTCCTTTCCCTTCCCCTCCCCACAACAGACACCCTGTGAGATAGGTGGGGCTGAGAGAGCTCTTGACAGAAACGGCTCTTCTTCAAGGACAGCTCTTGTCAGAGCTACGGCTTGCCCAAGGTCATCCAGCCAGGTGCAAGTGGAGGAGTGGGGAATCAAACCCGGATCTCCCAGATTAGAGTCCGTGCACTTAACCACTAGACCATTTTGTGCATGGCTCCGCCTTCAAAATCAGCCATTCTGTAGCTGAGCCCACCATGCTACACCAGAATTACAAAGGGACTTGCAGGCTCAAAGAAGTTGGGGACTCCTGCTGTAACAAGACTGATTTTCAGATCAACAGAATCACAATGCTAGAAAGAATAGCACAATTCTGGATGGACTGTACCGGTCATTATTAAAGAAGTATGACAAACAGTCATTTTCTTTCATTGCCAACTTACACTGCAATTTTCGGGAGGAACTAAAAGTTGTGTAATTTCTCCGCCGTGCACGCAGAAGATATGTTTCATTTCCCCAGAAAAGATGTCCCAGATAATGACCGAAAAGTCTACTCCGCCCGAGACCAAGTATCTTTGGTCATAGCGAGAGGAGACCTGGTGAGGGTACAGCAAACACGTGACTTTGTTCCGATGACCTCGCAGAGTCCTATGGGGTGGCCAACCTGGAAAATGGGTTGTGGGGGGGTGAAAACAAACACAGTCGGCATGAAGACATTATGAACAGTTTCAGCCTTCGGGGGGAGGCGGGGAAGACAACATTAAAATAAGCCAGGAAGAATAAATCGTGCAAAAGAAGATTTCTTTCCCTTCTCTGGCTGCCCTGTATCATTCTGCACTCCGTTTCTGTGGCAATATCATATTTCCTGTTTTCCATTTAGCAGCCTGAATAGCCCAGACTAGCCTGATCTCATCAGAACTCAGAAGCTGAGCAAGTCGGCCAGGCTTAGTACTTGGATGGAAGAAGGAAGACCAGGGTTGCTGTGCAGAGGAAGAAGAAGAGGAGATTGGATTTATACCCCGCCCTTCACTACCCAAAGGAGTCTCAGAGCGGCTTACAAACTCTTTTCCCTTTCCCTCCACACAACGGACACCCTGTGAGGTAGGTGGGGTTGAGAGAGCTCTGACAGAAACTGCTCTTTTTCAAGAACAGCTGTGCCAGAACTATGGCTTGCCCAAGGTCATCCAGCCAGGTGCAAGTGGAGGAGTGGGGAATCAAACCCGGTTCTCCCAGATTAGAGTCCGCACACTTAACCACTACACCAAACTGGAAGACAATGGCAAACCACTTCTGCTCATCTCTTGCCTTGAAAATCTTGTGAGAGGGTGCCATAAGTTGGGTGCAACTTGACGGCCCTTTATTATCGTTATTGTAAACCATTTAACTCATTGTTATGTTACTATGTTTGATGTTTATCCCACTCTGCCCCACATACCTGCCTTAGGGCTTCCCTACTAAACAGCTACTGCCCGCTCCTAGTCCACTGCTAGGCTACACTGTAACTACCCAGCTGATTCACATACGCTTGGGTACACATTCATGTACACCTTCTGATTTCTCTTTATATTTGTTAGCCAACAGCTGGACGTGTGAATAACTGATGCCACTGAAAAGCATTGTGAGAGAAGATGAGAACATTTTATCAGCGGATCTCTACGATGGCTTGCTTACCACATGTAAGTCTTTGTTCGGTTTACTCAAACGACCCCAAGAGAACCGCCTCTAGAAGCACCAAGGACATTCAGAATGAGGAGCACAGACTAACAAGGAACACATTTATGTACACCTTCTGATTTCTCTTTATATTTGTTAGCCAACAGCTGGACGTGTGAATAACTGATGCCACTGAAAAGCATTGTGAGAGAAGATGAGAATATTTTATCAGCGGATCTCTACGATGGCTTGCTTACCACATGTAAGTCTTTGTTCGGTTTACTCAAACGACCCCAAGAGAACCGCCTCTAGAAGCACCAAGGACATTCAGAATGAGGAGCACAGACTAACAAGGAACGTTCATTGCTGCCAAGATGCTACACCCACCATTATTGTGGGTCAATGCTCCAGACCCAGATGTGAGCTCAAGTATTCGACCCACTCCACATACCCAACATTATACCTACTAACGGTCTGTTCAAGAATCTAGATAGTTTTCACAAACAGTTGTATAATCTGTATTCAGATTCCCCATTTTTAAAATCCAAAGAATGTAATTTAGGGTTTCTTTGTTGTTGTTTTACAGAAGTTCTCTTGGTTTTCTATAATAGAGCCACATTTTTCACAAGCAGCATATGAATCATAGACTCATAGAGTTGGAAGGGACCTCCAGGATCATCTAGTCCAACCCCCTGCACAATGCAGGAGATTCACAAATACCACCCCCTCCACACCCCCAGTGACCATTGTTCCACACCCAGACAATGACAAAAAAACATAGTTTTTTCTCTTGCCCCAGAAGGCTGGACCAGAACCAATGGATTGAAATTAAATCAAAAGAGTTTTCAGCTAAACATTACGAAAAACTTCCTGACACTTAGAGAGATTCCTCAGTGGAATGGGCTTCCTCGGGAGGTGGTGGGCTCTCCTTCTTTGGAGGTTTTCCAGCAGAGGCTAGATGGCCATCTGACAGCAATGCTGATTCTGTGAATGTAAGCAGAGCTTGAGAGGGAGGGCAGGATGAGCCAGTGCTTGGCTCTCGTGGCCCTTTTCTGTGCCCAGGGCCAATTGCCACTCTGGGGTCAGGAAGGAATTCTCCTCCAGGCCAGATTGGACCAGGCATCCTGGATGTTTTTTGCCTTCCTCTGGGCATGGAGCAGTGGACACTGGGAGAGTTGGAGGTAACTGTGAATTTCCTGCATTGTGCAGGGGGTTGGACTAGATGACCCTTGAGGTCCTTTTCTATCTCTGAAACAAGAAGTCACTACCTGCTGTAACTTGTAAAATCACAATTCACCGCTAAAATTAATTTTAAAAGCTTGTGTGCATTTGTGTGCACATGTGAATTAAAAAAGGGCCGTATATAGATCAAATTAAAAAATTAATAAATAATAAAACAGTTGGATTAAGGTGGAAGAATGTTGGCACTTTCTTCAAATGCTGCCTGAGTAAGAATGTAAAAACAAATATCACACAACATTACACAGCACGCAAGGAACTGACAAGACGCTTCCTGTAGGAAAGCAGTGCAGATGGATCCACTATTCTCCTGGCTGGAGATTGGGAACCCAAAGGTATTTGTGTGCCAACAGCATGAGAAGTCTGGTAATTGCCTACGCAGTCAATTTGGCCTTGGCAGAGATAACAGAGAACTTGCCTGCACACACACATTCCCTTAGTTCATGTCTCATGACTAGGATGCTGTAATGTATGAAAGGGAGGGGGAAAGGAGGAGACGGATTTTTCAATAAATACAGCTGGTGAGTGAGAGGACATTCATTGAGTCAGCTTTCTGCAGAAGCTGTTTGTCTCTCGTCGTCTTTGCATCGCGTGAACCCTGCACCCACACAACAGCTTCCCGTGACCCCCACACACCTCTTCTGCGCATGTGTTCGTCTTGCAGGAGCTGAACTACAGCAGTCTGAGTTGCCGGTACGATGACGATGCTCCCGTCTTCACGACCACAAACTAAGCGGCCATGTGCCGGGATGTAAACGCTGGCTGTCACTTTGAGGGGCTCATCACTGTGGGGCATGAAGCTCAGCTGGTCGATGATTCCAGCCGGGCGGGGAACAAGTTTGTTGAAGGCCTCTTGCAGCGAAATGGAGGTCGTTATTTTTAACCCTGCTTTTAAAAATAAAATACTCTGAAGACGACAGCTGTAGAAATGGAAACGTATCTCGGAGCTTTTAACTTTACAGAGCAAGGCTTAAAGACTTCCCACACCTGGCTGACTGTAGTGAATAAGAACTGCCTCTAAGCAGCCGGTACAGGAATTTCTTTCAATCCTATGTTGGATCCCTCTCCAACCCCTTCTAGGCCAGCTTTCTAATACAGGTGAACAGATCTACCCGGGACAGTAACAGGCTTTTAGCTGAGGCGGAGGACACCCAATTAGTTGGCGTCCCTGCCAATGTTCCCTCTAAGCTGTAGAGTCTTGTGAGCAAAAATTCTACTTTTTGAGCTACTGGCATTAAAGCTGTGAGCGAGTGATTTGGCTGCTGCATAAATTAGTTTGCTCTGGAGCCATCCTTCCTGAGCCAAGACAGAAATGTGTGAGCCGGAGGCTAAAAAACTGTGAGCTAGCTCACACTAACTCAGCTTAGAGGGAACACTGGTCCCTGCATAGAAGTTGGCCTGACCATTTGCCCTATATGGAGCTTGAATCTGATAAGGCTCCAGTACCATCAGTTTGGCTTAGAGCGTGTCTGAACTGCTACACTCAATATGCCACCTTTTAATTGTCTAATCAGTTTTAGCTGTTTAAGAAGCAATTATGGGGTTTTAATTGTGTATGCACTTTGTTGTTGTCCGCTCTGAGCCAATTTTGGGAAGGGCAGGATATAAATTTTAATAACAGTAGTAGAAGTAGTAGTAGCAGCAGCAGCAGCAGTAACAGTAGTAGTTAAAAAATAGGGACTAGTAACTTTTGGAAGCTTTGCAAAAAAAACCCAACCCTGTGTAAAATCATTGAAATGACATTGTTGAGAATTATATCACCAGATTAAAAATGTGAACGTTAAAAGAGCCTCATGGTTATAAGGAGCAAAGGGGGAGAAAGAGAGAATGGAAGACTCCCTAACTAAACTAAAACAGACTGCTTGAGTCTCGAACAGACATGACAGAAAAAGAAATAACAAAAAAGCAGAAACATACTGTTAACTTCCATCAGCAACACTATTGCAGATTCTTAGATTCTACCTTCACATTTCAACCTGACCAAGACTTTTAGTTCCCAGGATTCTTCTAACTTACAGAAGCTATTAATTCCACTTGCTTTGGTGTGGGCTTTACTTCAAAGAGAAGTCCAGTGAAGCAGAACAAAGAGAGAATATGAGAGAGAAGGTGCTCAAGCTGCTAAAAGGTCAACTGCTATGGCCATTTCGAGTATTTATCCAGCCATTGTGCGGGACAAAAGGAACTTCTCTACTACGCAACTGTATATGTGTTATACACAAGACCTTCATTCTGCAATTCATGCATTTGATGAAATAGGTCCTTGCTAGGGATACCAGCTCCAGGTTGGGAAATACCTGGGAGATTCGGGGGGTGGAGCCTGAGGAGGGCGGGGTTTGGGGAGGCGAGGGACTTCAATGGGGTCCAATGCCACAGAGTCCACCTTCCAAAGAGGCCATTTTCTCCAGGTGAACTGATCTCTGTTGCCTGGAGATCAGTTGTGATAGCGGGAGATCTCCAGCCAGCACCTGAGTCCTTGCCATGAATGTTCATACCACAACCCTAGCCCTTGCCCACAGAAGTTCTTACTGCGATACATTTGTTTGACTTCTCACATAGATGGTTTGCTGCTAGGGTTGGCAGGTCCTCCCTGGCCACTGGGGCGGGGGGGAAGGGTGGTCAGATTCAGCTTGGGAAAACCCTAGAGATTTGGGGGTGCAGCCTGGGGAGGACAGGGACCTCATGGGGTACAATGCCACAGAGCCCACCTTCCAAAGCATCCACTTTCTCTAGGGGAAACTGATCTCTGAAGTCTGGAGATGAGTTGTAATTCCGGGGGGTCCCACCTGGAGGCTGGCATCCCTATCTGCTACAGACCAACATCTCGACTCTCAATTAACTTCTTTGCTTTTCCATCAACACTTTCTTCCTCAAAAGCACAAATATAAAGGAGTCTTCAGGATTATCGGAAAGATTTTCTGGATTATTTCTTTTTAAAAAGAGACCATTGCTATTAGGAAGCACCATCCCTATAAGAGAGACGCCCAATAAGAGAAATGTAAATCAATAAACTTCGAAAGCGCCACCTTCTGTCACGTCTTGCTGTTCAAGCGTCTCTGGTACACTCCAAATGCTGAGCCTGCCCGTCGAGTCTCCCTGGATGAGCAGTTTATGGAAACACTCCCTGCGGCCATAGAAGAACCGGGTAACAGGAGGGCAGATTAACAGCTGCAAGATAAAGAGGCATCAAAACAATCTCAGGTGGCAAAGCAACAAGTAGAGGCCCAAGTTTTAAGCTAGGCTTCCACCATGGCTTGCCTCTCTTGAGGCAGCTCCTTAGATAATGAGGTACATCCATTGGGCGGGGGGGGGCTTTTTCAAAGGACGAGATGGGCTGATCAAAAATATCTGTAATGCATTCCCTTTCAAACCTTTTCGAACATTCCCAAGGTGGCTATCAGCTGACGAACAATCTTTATGCAGGGGCTGTTTGCCTGCTCCTCCCTTTGCCTTTGAATTAATCTCCTCCTTGAGCCTGCCAGCTCTCTGCCTTAGTTTACATAAGAACATAAGAGACGCCAATGTTGGATCAGGCCAAAGGCCCATCCAGCCCAACACTCTGTGTTACACAGTGGCCAGAAATACCAGGTGCCATCAGGAGGTCCACCAGTGGGGCCAGGACATTAGAAGCCCTCCCACTGTTGGGCCCCCCAAGCACCAAGAAGACAGAGCATCACTTGCCCCAGAGCCCCTATCTATACCTTGATTTATGGAATGCACTCATGCGGAAGCACCATCTTTATGATACCAACACAATACGGCTAGCACTTTAATATTGCATTGCTTTTAATGAACTGTTTTTAGATGTTTTATGGTAACTTGATTGTTATTTATGTATTTGACATATAGTTACAACAGAAGTTTTTACAAGCATACAGAATATACCAAAAAAAATATTAATAACAACTGAAACCTATAGAACCTGGCCCTGGGTTTGCTACTGACAGCCTGTGTCCACCGATTATTTCTGAGAAAGATCGGCGAGCTGAGCATTTAGACGATTTATGGAATGCACTCATGCGGAAGCACCATCTTCATGATACCAACACAATACGGCTAGCACTTTAATATTGCATTGCTTTTAATGAACTGCTTTTAGATGTTTAGATGTTTTATGGTAACTTGATTGTTATTTATGTATTTACCCTATGAAAGTCGCCCTGAGCCTGCCTTGGCGGGGAGGGTATAAATCGGAATAAATAAATAAAATAAAAGATTTAAAATACAGTTTCCGTAACCTCAGTATCAGTGCACAAAATCTAGCTACTTGATAAGTTCTTGTCAGACAAAAGGCAGTCAAGCTTGGCTTTGTCTGTGCCACCAGGAATCTTATCCAGCAATGGAGTGATAATCTCCAAATGAGCCTCCTTGTAACACGGGCAACTAAAGAACATATGCTTGATGGACTCAACCTCCCTTAATGGGCACGTACATAACCTTTCTAGGTAGGGGATTTTCTTATACCTGCCTTTAAGCACTGCAGAGGGGAGTGCAGAACTCCTTGCCAAGGTGAAGGCCCTTCTAAAACTGTTTATTTCCAAAGAAGCCAGATAAGCTGCCAGCACGACAGCATATTTGACATTTGACAGTGCAATAAGGTTTGGTACACTAGAAATGTCGGTTTGGCATTCTGTATCTTCCGTTCACTGCTTAGTTAGCCTTTTTGCTTGTTCAATTCCGCAAGATTGTAGGTACTCCATTTTTTTTTTAATTTTAATTTATTACAACATACTACATCAAAGATACACATAACCAAGCAGAGTATAAATACCAAACAATAAACACTTTGCTTTAAAAAGTTGAAGTCTAAATCCAAAAGCACTTTTAAAAAAAGATCATTACTAAGTTTATACAAAATAAATATATATCAACTAAAAACTATTGTTATGAAGGTGCTCCATTTCTCAATGCTTCTTCTCCTAGAGGATCCCCCTTTTGTAATGCTGTCTTTTGTGTGTCTGTATTGTGTTACTCTTGAGCAGCTGAGAGCACAAGGACCTTGTGAGGATGTAAACAGAGTGCACTGGGGAGACCCAAACTCAAAAGTCCCTGTTCAGCTATGAGGAACTTCACTGGGTAGAGAGTGCTTCTTTAACTTTAAACTACCTACCCATCTCTTGGAGGCTGATGGTCACTGAAAATGGACCCTCGATGCCCTTACTACAGCTAAAAGACTTATAATACAGTGTTGGAAAGATAAAAGCTCATCTCTGGTAAACCAAAGGATTCAGTATGTTAGAACTCTATTAAAACGCATGGCATTTGCATGTGAACTATTTTGACATATTTGGAAACAAATTTCTACAAACAGTTTTCCAAATATCTACAAGTAAGTCCATACACAATCACATACAAATATTGATAAGGCTCTAAGGTCCTCAACTTATATGTAGATCTGCCGTCACTGTTGCAATATTTTTGCCTTTACGTATACCTTAAAAAAAAAAATCTTACTTAGCTGATGAGTTTTAAGTTTTATTTCCCCCTTTGTTCTTTCTTTCTTTTTCTTTTCTTTTTTTTTTTGGAAAAAGAAAAAAATGTATTTGTCAGAAGGAAAGTCCTGAAAAAGTCCAAGATAGCCCCCCTCCCCCCGAGTTTGCTTATCCAACATACTGCTGCAAGATTTTGGGGAAAGGCTTACAGCTGACTGGTAGAGCACATGGCTTCTATGCCTAAGGTCAAAACCTGGCATTTGCAGCAGAAGTGCCTAGAGGAGCCATACTGGGAAAGATCCCTCAACTGAGAGCCTGAAGGGCTTCTGCCAGTTAACAGGACACAATAATGGGTTAAAAATGGACAAATGGTTTCACGTGTCCCAAAGCACCTCCCTATATATTCTAATTATGGTGCTGAAGAAGACTCTTGAGAGTCCCCTGGACTGCAAGGAGATCAAATCAGTCAATCCTAAAAGAAACCAACCCTGACTGTTCCCTGGAAGGCCAGATAAGGAAACTGAAGCTCAAATACTTTGGCCACCAAATGAGAAGGGAGCACTCCCTGGAGAAGACCCTGATGCTGGGAAAGATTGAAGGTCAAAGAAGAAGAAGAAGAGAAGAGAGAAGAGAGTCCGCACACTTAACCACTACACCAAACTGGAACGGCAAAGGAAGAGATGGTTAGACAGTGTTATCAAGGCAATGAACGTGAAGTTGAGCAAGCTCCGGAAGACAGGAGGGCCTGGCATGATGTGGTCCATGGGGTCGCGAAGAGTCGGGCTCGACTGTGCGACTGAACAACATATATTCATAGCGAGGCTGCCCAAACACGAGCTTCCTACCGACGACTGCTACACCAGCTCGAGGGCTCCCGGATGGAGAGCCAGTTTGGTGTAGTGGTTAAGTGTGCGGACTCTAATCTGGGAGAACCAGGTTTGATTCCCCACTCCTCCACTTGCACATGCTGATGTCACCTTGGATCAGTCACAAGCTCTGGCACAGCTGTCCTTGAAAAAGAGCAGTTTGTGTCAGAGTTCTCTCAGCCCCACCCACCTCACAGGGTGTCTGTTGTGGGGAGGGGAAGGGAAGGGAGTTTGTAAGCCGCTCTGAGACTCCAAGTGAAGGGCGGGGTATAAATCCAAACCCTCCCCCTCCTCCTCCTCCTCCTTCTTCTTCTCCTCTCCTTCCTCAAAGCTTTGACAGCACAGCATGCCCCCTTACCTGTTTATCTGATTTCACCACCGCTTTGTCCACAACACAATGGAGCTGAGGAGGGTTGAGATTTTCAACAACTTTCCCGACATCACTGCGAAACGTATCGCTGGCCGGCAAGCAGCTAGGAGGGAGGGGAAGGAAAGAAGAAAACCACATCACGACGGCATGCGTAATAACCCCGAAACTATGGCTAAACACAGAGTTAGGTATGACCAGAGACTCTCCTTGTCTGCTTGAATGAACATACAATTTTAACTCTGTAAGAGCTTAGGATGGGTGAGGAAGACACACATGACCATATGCTCCAATTATAGTTTTAAAAGAAAGGTTGGAAACCAAAGGACTGTACTGTGCGCATGTGTCCATCTCATTCTGGGTCTTTCTCATTTCCTGCTGCCTTCAACTTTCCTCAGCATTACTGTCTTTTCCAGTTACTCTTTGTCTTCTCATCATGTGACTTGGAGCATGACAGCCTCAGTTTACTCATTTTTGCTTCTAGAGAGAGTTCAGGCTTGCATTGATCTAGAACCCACTGATTCGCCTTTCTGGCGGTCCACGGCATCCATAAAACTCTCCTCCAACACCACATTTCAAACAAATCAATTTTCCTCCTGTCAGCTTTCTTCATTGTCCACCTTTCACACTCATACATAATAACGGGGAATGTTATAATGTTATGGTATGAATTAACTTGATCTTGGTCGCCAACAACACATCCTTATGCTTAAGGGTCTTTTCTTGCTCCTTAACGGCCCTTCCCAGTCCCAATCTCCTTCCGATTTCTCGGTTGCAGTCTCCCTTTTAAGCAGATGATGGAGTCAAGGAAGAGAAAATCTTTTAACCATTTCGATTTCTTCATCGTCAGCCTTAACGTAGTGTGATTCTCCGGTAGTGTCAACAAAGTGTTTAAACATGGATAGGGGAGAAAGAAATAGAGTAATCTGGTCCAAGGAAGGATGAATAAATGCACTCCCAAGGCTCGGATTATGAGAGAAGAAGAACTGCACTTTTACCAGTCCCAGAGAGAGCATATCATTCTGCTTGATAAAGGCCTTTGCACAACAGACATTCTCTTTTTGAGAGTAGTGCGCACACGCTGAGTCTCTGTTCTCACTTGTGCACAGGATTGAGCTTGGTTTGTCTTGGGGGTGTCTCTGGCCTCTAACTTCATTCTCACATTTCTTTGTTAACTCTTCCATTTACGTGCTAATTTGCTGCCATCCGGCCACCTAATCTGATTTCAGCTCTGCATATGCATCTTGGCTCTGTGTGGTCCCTCCTAACGCTTGCCCCCCTCCCTCTTTTTTCCTGTAAGTAACCTTTGGGGAGATTTTATCCCATTTGTCTGAAGAAGTGTGCTTTGCACACAAAAGCTTACACTTTGAATAAAACTTTGTTGGTCTTAAAGGTGCCACTGGACTCAAACTTTGTCAAACAATCTCTTTAACCAAGATTAGACCCCCCCTCGTTAAAAAAATGTCACCACCTCTCTCTGTGTTATGTGCTTAACATATATCAAGCATTCCAAAGTTAACCCTCTTACTTTCCCCCTATTTTACATAATACCACATACCTGGCGGGCAGTTTATATATAAAACTCTGGCCATCTTCCGTCCATATGATCACTTTGTCTGCTGATACAAAATCACCTCCCGTCCAGGTCTGCCCATTCTCGCTGGGGACTGAGCATAACAGGGAATAATCTCCAGCATCAAACACCTAATGAAAAAAAGGTTTACAGCACAGAATCATTATGTCATAAAGCGGGTCAGTACCTGTATAGTGGAAAACAACACATCGCTTCTACAGAACATCTAGAGGAGGAGAAGAGATTGGATTTATACCTGGCCCTTCACTACCTGAAGGAGTCTGAGAGGTTTACAATCACCTTCCCCTTCCCCTTCCCACAATAGACATGAGGTAGGTGGGGCTGAGAGAGCTCCTTCGAGAACGGCTCATGAGAGAACAGCCTTGAAAGAACTTGTGACTGACCCAAGGTCATCCGGCAGCTGCATTTAGAGGAGTGGGAAATCAAACCCGGTTCTCTCAGATTAGAGTCTGCCCTCCTAACCACTACACCAAACTGGCTCTAAAAAAACCCAAAGAAGATAAGCTAGTTTTTGGGTTTTTTAAAAGTATATAAATAAAACCTTAAACTCCAAACTCCTTTGGTGATCCCTAAATTTATATTTCTGAATGTTAAAAAGCATTCTTTTGATGGTCTGAGGTTAACATTTAGAAAGCAAAGGACAGCATTTCAGTGATATTATATTACCACATTATTTAAACAAGTCCATATACTTAGACAAAAAACAATGCATGGGCAGCAATGCGAGTTCACGCACAACCAAAGAGATTACACATTCAATTAAATTAAGCCCTAATTGATTTATATAATCTGACTATCCTGAGCTTCTTTTGCAGACAAGCCTCACTGACAATTTGATTACAGCAGCTTCCCCCGCAAAGAAAAGCCTGCTTTTACTTAACTGGTTATCCTTACCCTCCAGTATTTGGAGCACACCACCAAAAGCGATCTTTGGGTAAACGCACAGAAAGAAATGCTTTGGCAGTTCTGGCAGTAAATGGGTTTCGACTCCTCCTCAAAAATGGGCTCCGTGTCCTAAAAAAAAAAGGCAGAGGCGGTTGCGTTATTGGTTCACTTCATGCAATATTATTGTCAGTGGCTGGGGAAGCACCAGCCATGAGCCGGGCAATGCTCAAGAGTCATAGGTACTGCATGATCACATTGCACAAGCACATGATGTGGCACTGGGCCTGGACTTCAGCAACAAGAAGCTTCCATCTGTACACAAGACACACACGAGTGTATGTGTTTAGCCCTTCTGGGCAAGTGATAATTTGAAAGTGCATGGGCAAACCTGCCAAATCTTACGCTCCAGAATGAGGTTAAGCAGGATTTCCAGCCTCAAGGCTTGGAGCCTCAGTTACTACATAGGATTTTCTTGCCCCTTCCTTGCAATCAATAGAAACAGAACAAAATATTTATTTATTTACTTCCATTTATGTTACACACACACACGCTCGCAAAGCTGGTTCAGGGCGGGTTCCAACCTACAATAATCTGCTGAGTGCAGATTTACATCATAAAAACAGAATAACAAAAATACATCCAATAAATACAATAAAATAAGTACAACACTAAATACTTTAAAATAAATTATACCTCAACAGACACATAAGAGCAACTCACTGAGGGGAGGGGAGGGGAGGGGGATTCAATTGGATACCCACTGCCTCAGGGCCGATAAAGCCCTTGTTGAGGCAAAAATACGACATACAGCATTTGCTTATGTGGAGAAACGCCATTTTAGGTATATGTTTAAGTTGGTGTGGGCCAGATAGGAGGGGACCATGAAACCTGAGGTAGGCCTTGGCCTAGTCTCCTCTTCATTCCCCCCCCCCCTGTCTCCAACCAGCAGTCAGAGGGCAGCTCCCTAGAGAGGACAGGAAGTCCATCAAGGCTGTGAGGAGATCTGCCCCAGAATGCTGCAGGAGGGAGAGCCACTTCCTGGGCGGGAAGGGCTGTTTGATATAGTGGAGCTTTGGGGCGGGAAGCCAGTCTGTGGGAAGTCTGGAGCCAGTGAGGCTGTCGGCTGGAGACTGCAAGAGGCAGAGGCCATGTTGGGAGTCCTCTAATGAAAACAAGTCATGTGCCTGCCCTGCAGACCATCTAGACAGGGTATGTGTAGTGAAGGGAGAGATGGAGCGATTTATTATCCACCTTTATTTTAATTCTTCAGTTCACTGTTAATATGCCTGTATATAGTTTTCCAGCCTCAAGGCTTGGAGCCTCAGTTACTACACAGGATTTTCTTGCAATCGACAGGAACAGAACAAAATATTTATTTATTTACTTCCATTTATGTTACACACACACACGCTCGCAAAGCTGGTTCAGGGCGGGTTCCAACCGACAATAATCTGCTGAGTGCAGATTTACATCATAAAAACAGAATAACAAAAATACATCCAATAAATACAATAAAATAAGTACAACACTAAATACTTTAAAATAAGTTATACCTCAACAGTCACATAAGAGCAACTCATTGAGGGGAGGGGAGGGGGATTGAATTGGATACCCACTGCCTCAGGGTCGATAAAGCCCTGGCCCTTGTTGAGGCAATAACACGACATACAGCATTTGCTTACGTTAAACTCACCCAATCACAACCCTCCCCTCATAAGGCTCCCCACGCCTGTACCGCGTCCAGACAGCACTGAATCAAAGCTGGACGCACATTGCTTACAACCCCCTCAATCAATGCTCCCTCTAAGCTGTGGAGTCCTGTGAGCAAAAATTCCACTTTGTGAGCTACCGGCATTAAAGTTGTGAGCGAGCGATTTGGCTGCTGCATAAATTAGTTTGCTCTGGAGCCATCCTTCCTGAGCTAAGACAAAAATGCATGAGCCGGAGGCTAAAAAACTATGAGCAAGCTCACACTAACTCAGCTTAGAGGGAACACTGCACTCAATGCTTCCAATCACCCCCCAAAGCTAAAGAGAAGCAGGAAGATATTGGTTGGGAGGGGTGTTCATGTGCATGCGCACATGGGGCTCTCAATCTTAAATGGCTAAACACTCTCATTGTTCTTTAGTAGCTGATTGCTAAACTCCCAAATGCGAAACAATCACAGGTGTGCCGCGGTTGTGCTGGCAAGAGCAAGAAGCCTGGCTATTCCCCATTCTGAAAAGGACGTACAAAGAGAGGAACAGCTCTCTGCGGCAGATCAATCCCTTAAGTTTTAAGCTAAAAACATTAATGAGCAGAAACATTGGGGTCATCCCCCCGACCCCTGCCAATACCATGGGTTGGCTCCAAAGCACCACAGGTGGAGTGAAGCTGGTACTGTCATGCCTTCTGTCTCTTGCTACAACGCACTGACACACACACCCCAATATTCTGATCCTGAGTGATCAACAGACCCTCACCAACAATGTGGAGGGCAAACGGGGGGGGGGAGAGAAAACTCAAGAGGTGATATGATAACCATCTTCAAGTACTTGAAGGGCTGTCATATAGATGAGGGTACTGTCATGCCTTCCCTTGACTCAGCCCCAGAGCCAGCTCCTGACAGCCTAAGAGGGGAGGATTCAGTGCCTTTAAGAGCTGAAGAAGCATCAGGATCTGCACCTACTGTAAGTACTGAGGAGGATACACAGCAATCTGAGTCCCTCGGGGCTAGATGGCCATCTGACAGCAATGTGGATTCTATGAATGTGGCACTGGGCCTGGACTTGCAAATCACGAGAAGGGAGGGCAGGAAGGGTTGTCTCAGTGCTTAGTTCTTGTGGCCCTTTCTTTCATCGCCACTTTGGGGTCAAGCAGCAATTCTTCTCCAGGCCAGTTTGACCAGAGATCCTGGAGGATTTTTGCCATCTTCTTGGGCATGGAGGGGGGTCACTGTGGGGCATGTGGGGGGAGGTATTTGTGAATTTCCTCCATTGTGCAGGGGGTTGGATTAGATTATCCTTGAAGTCCCTTCCATGATTCTATGATATATAGTGGGAGAAGGAAACTGCTACAAATTGCAACCCCCTCTACTGCTAAAGAGGAGCACCATTCTAGAACCTCTGCATCCAACACCATATAGTTGTTTCTCAAACAGCAAAGAACTTAGTGAGAGTCCTTAAATCTATCATTTCTTAAATGAGAGTCCTTAAATCTATCATTTCTTAAATGAAGATCTATCTAGTTTTGTACAGTGAAAGCTTTTGTTAACTGGACAGCTCAGTTAGCTAGCATGCCAGGGAAACAGACCCCAACTCAACAGTCACTCAACCAGGACATACCCAAAAGCCAATGCTCACAGGGATATGCTGGAAGAGAGTATGAGTCCCAGCCATGGCTACCACCCACTCAAGACTGTTGCCCTCTTGCCACTAGGTAAAAATATGGTTAACCAGAAACTCTACCCCCCAAATCCTCAGGGGTGCTGGTTAACAAAGCTTTTGCTGAATCATCTTAGTGACTCAGGCAAGGGTGGACACGCTGAGAAACTGTCACAACGTCTTATGGTAATGGGATTATACATATCTTGCCATACCATAACAGACCTGTATTTATCTATGGGTCGTCTGTATGAAATAGCTGTAGTGTTGGCCAAGCAAGCCCGATCTCTTCAATCTTGGAAGCTAAAGCAGAGCCAGCCCTGGCTAGTATTTGGATGGGAGACCTCCAAGGAATACCAGGGTCGTGATGCAGAGGCAAAAACAAGGGCAAGCCACTTCTGAACGCCCCTTGCCTTCAAGCCCCACTAGGAGTCGCCAGAAGCCAGCTTGATTTGATGGCAAAAAATAAAAATAAATAGCTGTAATGTCTATCATTCAGGTGGACCACTGGTCTGATCCGACAGGCTCTACTTATGGGTTCACTGTTATGTTCTTAATTATAAAGCAGAATACAACCAATGTACACCAAGCAGTTTTGCAAAACTTGTGAGATGATCAAACTTCTTTTCTGAAGCCAAAAAACCCTCCAACTTTCAATGAGAAAGAGGTCAAATAAATAAGGAGCAATACACAAGAAATATGTGACTTAATGAACACCATTAAAAGCATGCATTACGATTAGTTACAATGAAATTCAGATGCACTGAGACATCTCGGGATTTATCACAATGAACAAAAGGTGCAAAGCTATAGCCTTCCCTCTCAACTCCTGCTGTGAATGTGGACTTGAAGGTAATCCCGCCTTTCAATGCAGAATATTTCCAAGACAACTAAGGATTAAAACTGCACAAATAAATCACCACCCATAAATTCAATAAATGACAATAAAAGGGACAGTAGCAGAATAAAAACAACCATCAAAAGGTTGAGAGAATAGGATTGTCCTATCCTGTCACCTGAAGATCAGTAAGGCAGGCCTTTTTGCTTCTGTCCCTCCCTTTTGCTAAACGTGCACGACATACCTCGTTTTCAAGGCCTGTTACCAATCTTGCTTACTTAGCATTTCAACTGCCTGGAAAGGGAATGCTGGGCTTTCTACACATGAATCCAAGTAACCTGAGGCACAGCAAACATGCTACAGGGGGGAAGGCCCTTAGTCTAGCTGGATTGGGAGATCAGCAGATTTTAAACATCTCCTTTTTGTTGGCTGCTCTAGGCAAGGATTTCATACCTGAGCAGAAATAATTATGAAAGCAAGCAATATAGTGCAAGAGGAAGAAGAGATTGGATTTATACCCTGCCCTTCACTACCCAAAGGAGTCTCAGAGCGGCTTACAAACTCCTTTCCCTTCCCCTCCCCACAACAGACACCCTGTGAGGAAGGTGGGGCTGAGAGAGCTCTGGCAGAAACTGCTCTTTTTTCAAGAACAGCTCATTATCAGAACTATGGCTTGCCCAAGGTCATTCAGACAGGTGCAAGTGGAGGAGTGGGAAATCAAACCCGGTTCTCCCAGATTAGAGTCCGCGCACTTAACCATGACACCAAACAGATGAAAATAAGACCGATGAGCAAAGAGCCAAAGCTATGTCCATTCTTGGTTAAGAGACGGGATGGGAAGGGACAAAAAGTATCAATGACTATGAAGCTACATTCTCCCCCGCCTTTACCTGCATGTGACTCACTTCCGAAGTTACTATCCATACTTTAAGAATGCCGGTCACCGACACTGCAACAACGGTGTCCTCTAGGGAAAAGAAAAGAAAAAGAAATGAAGACTACTCACAAGAAGAAGAACTGTCATAATTTTCCCCCCATCAAAGCAAAGATAAACATGTTAAATTCTCATGTTTTTAAAAACTCAGTGGAGATGCACTCTACGCATTATCTTCATTAAGTATACCGTATTCACGTAGAGGCAGTCAATGGCAAACCACCTCTGCTCATCCTCTTGCCTTCGAAACCACAGGGGGGGTCACCATAGGACAGTGGCAGCTTAATGGCACTCCCCACCACCCTTCACAGCCTGAGAAGCTCTGGACAGGATATGCAGGATTCTCTCTACCTCTCACCAAATACGCCAGGTGGGTTAGGGCTGCAGGGAAAGCCTCCGGGCCAACTAGTGAATTCCTTACACGAGCAAGGACTGGCGCTTGGATTTGTTATATGCAAACCCAAAGTTTCAGCCACTACACGTAGCCTTTGGATGGCTTCCGCGTACAATTATACTAACAAGAGCTAATCCGCTCCCGTGAGCCAGACCGATGCAGTCTGAGGTAAGAGAGCCCGCCATAGATCCTCAGCCAATCCATGCGGAAGGGGATGAGGCTCAGTGGGAGAGCTTGGCATGTGGAAGGTCCCAGGCTGAGTCACTGGCATCTCCAGTTAAAAGGACCAGGCAGAAGGTGATGTGAAAAGGCCTCTTCCTGTTGCCCTGGAGAGCTGCTGCCGGTCTGAAGTAGACAGCATTTATTGATTTGATTTGATTTAGATCCCCACCTTCCCCTGCAAGTGGGCTCAGCACAGGAGATCATGATTCTATGGTTCTATGGTTCTATTCTTTCGGGTATGCTGTAGGGCTGTCTTTCAGCTATGCTCCTGCAGAGTGCAGGGGGTTGGACTAGATGACCTGCAAGGTCCCTTCCAACTCTAACATTCTATGATTCAGGTCACACGTGTCAGTAAATACATAGAATACATCCAATTGAAACATTAAAAAAAAATAACTCAAATTAACAACTACCAAAACATTTACTGACCAGATTCAAGATGGCAGCTATTCCGGGACTTTGGGCACCTCCTGAGGAAGCTAGTTAGATGATTTGATTTATTACATTTCTACCCTGCCCTCCCAGACAAGGCCAGCTCAAGGTGGCCATACATCATGACCTGTTGCCTGGGAACGTCTTGTTGATCTCGTAAACAGGGTTGGTCAGGATGGGCACTATAAGCACTGCAGCAGTACAGACTATGCGGGCACTGAGAGCAAGGGAGGCCGAGATGGATTGGACATCCGCCACCTCATCCAAAGGCCTGCCGGAACAACTCTGTTTTACCTGCAGAACTCTAGTAAGTCCCGCAGGGCCCTGATCTCCAGTGGGAGTGTGTTCCACCAGGCCGGGACCAGGGCAGAAAAAGCCCTGGCTCTTATCGAGACTAAACGGATGTCTTTCAGGCCAGGGACTACCAGAAGGCGTTGTTCGGCTGAGCGTAAAGCTCTTTGGGGCACATACAGGGAGAGTCGGTCCTGTAGGCATGTTGGTCCCTCACCACGTAGGGCTGTAAAGGTCATTACCAATGCTCCCTCTAAGCTGTGGAGTCTTCTGAGCAAAAATTCTACTTTGTGAGCTACTGGCATTAGAGCTGTGAGCGAGTGATCTGGCTACTGCATAAATCAGTTTGCTGTGGAGCCATCCTTCCTGAGCTAAGACAAAAAGGTGTGAGCCGGAGGCTAAAAAACTGTGAGCTACCTCACACCAACTCAGCTTAGAGGGAACACTGGTCATTACCATAACCATGAACTGGATCCGGTACTCAATTGGCAGCCAGTGCAATTGGCGCAACAGCAACCATGATGGACCAAGGATCTGATTCAGTATAAGGGAGCTTCCTGGGTCAATTTGCACATGGCAGATGAGTACAGGAAAGCGAGGGGACAGCATGAATTGTCCTGTCCACATAAGCCCAGTTATAAAATTCCTA